CTATTAATTGACCTTTTTTGTTTCAAATTACACTTAATTTTTTTTTCAGATAAACATAAAGAAAAGAGAAAAGAAAACAAACTAAACTGAAAAAAAATATATTTAGAAAAAACTTTAATGGAAAATATCAAAAGTGAAAGTCATTTATTAAAATACATTTTCGGAGATGTTCCATTTGAACAAATAGTTAGAGAGGCTAAAGATATAATTCCATTTAAAATATGTCATAATCAAGACAGAATAAATGGGAATTCTATATATTATAAATGTAGAACATGTGAAAAGTCGGAGCATAGTTGTATTTGTTCAGAATGTTTTAAGAATGGACATCATGAAGGACATGAATATCAAGCATTTGCATCAACAGGGACATGTACATGTGATTGTGGGAATGAAAAACTTTGGAAGAAAGAAGGTTTTTGTTCAAAACATGGGCATCAATTTAAAGGGAGTGCCATTGAAAAATTACCTGAGTCACTTAAAAATTATCCAAATAAAATAATGGAAATAATCGATTATTTAGGAAGAATAATAGATAATAAAGAGTCATTACTTACAAGTGAAATTTATTGGAATGTTCTTAGTTTATTAAATCAATTTAATGTATTTTTTTTAATAAACGCAGAACTTTTAAATAGATATATTCCTAAAGAATGGAAAACAGAATATCAAGAAATAAATAAATATGAGTTTATTTCATATTTTGAATATTTTTATCAATTTTTATTCTTAAATCCAATTACTACATATCCAATACAAATGCTTGATTATATGACATTATTTATCTCAGAAATTGAAGTGTTACATTTTCCTCTTGAAAGAATACATGACTTAATGTTTATGACAATAAATCTTCCCACTACAAATGATATGGTTAGTATTAAAATAGCACAAATTATTGTAATGTCACAGTCAAAAGAAGTTTTTTCAAAAGAAATATTTTCAACAACAAGAATGCAAAAATTACTTTCATTAATTAAAAGATTTATTCGTCAATCAAAAATAAAACCTATATTAATTACTTATATTAACAATTTAATTTGGGTTGTTGATTATTATTTATCTGGGACTCAGCCTACTGAAAATGTTCATGAAGGATTATTAGAAGATCTTTTAGATGTTTTATGTGAATCATCAAATCTCTTTCCTAATTTAATTAAAGAAGGAGAACATGTTGAATTTGATGATACTAGAATTACTTTTGTTTCATGGATACCAAGTTTAATGAATGATATTTTAAAAATTATTAAAGTATTTACACCTCATTATTTATATATTCATTTTCCATTAATTCATCAAAAATTAATGTCTTATATTAATACCATTTTAGACAAAGTTCCAATTCTTTTAATTAACAATGAAAAATATTATTATCGTCAAATAGGAAAAAATCAATCTGTTTCTCCAATTACTTTTATTCTTCCATTTTATACTAAGGTATTAATTTTATTTAAATTAAATAACATAGAATTTAATATTCCAATTGAAGACTGTAAAAAAATTGTACAAATAGCTTTATTTCCAGTTATTTATAAAGAACAAATTGTTAATAACGAATGGATAAGAAATGGTACAGAAGTTTTTATTCAATATCAACAAGTAGTATCATTATATTTAAAAGAACCATTACTCAATACAGTTCAATTACTTCAATTTTTAGCTGAAAGAATTGGATTTGATTATATTTTAATAGAAATGATGATTGGTATCCAAATGCTTAATTGTGATTCTTTACTTAATAAAGAAATACCTCAGTATATTGAGAAAAGAAAAACTAATTTACAATATGAACGTATTGAAGAAACACAGAATGAAAATGATAACTCAGTTATTACAATACAAGAAATTAATAATATTATTGCTAATCTTAATTCTACGTCTAGACAAACACTAAATGAAGATGAAGAAATTATAAGAGACGAATTATTGAGAAGACTTCAAGAATATATTAATTCTGACATACCTAAAATTCAAAATCAAATGATTAATGATGAAACTAATGAAGAAGAAGAAAAAGAAAAAAGAATAGAAAATAAAGAGGAAGAAGAAGAGTTAAACGATTTAATAATTGAAATAAACGAACCTCTTAATGAATTTATTAATAAATATTTTATTAAAAACAATCAACGAATTACATCAATTTTACGATTAATTATTGAAATAGAAAGAAGTAATATTCATCAATTTATTCTTGATGACACTGAATTAATGAAAATTTATACTCTTCATTTGATTGCAGCGGGAATAACAAGTGGAAAAGAAATACTTGAAAGAGTTCCATATAAACATTTACCATTTGAAAAATTATATGATGAAATTTGTGAAAGAAAAGGAGTTATTAGAAAAGAGTGGATGGGAAAAATAAATCCTGTATTTAATTTGTTTGGTGATAAAGAACGAGAATCATTATTAGAAAATACATTATTTAAACAAAAATCGATTAAAAATCATAGATACCAATATGAGAATTATTATAACAAATGGAATGGAAGTAAAATAATATGTTCTAATTTATTAATATATGATATAATAGAAATTTGTAGAAAAAGAGAATGTGATAATGTATTATTATATTACATTTTAATGTATTTATCTGATGTTCATTATTTAAATATTCAAATCAATAATAAAGATACAGAATTAATTGAACTTGGGAAATGGATTGGAATAAATGAAAAATTAATTTTTGAAAGTAAAGAAGTAATCAAAGAAATTAATGGACAAATTAAAAAAGGATTTGATCTTATTGTTCAAGAACAAGAGTTGTCTCCTTCTAATAAACAAAAGAATAAAAAAAAACTTATGTTAAACAAATTTAAAAAAATGCAATCAAATTTTAAAATTGATGAAATTGAAATTGAAGAAATAGAAGAAGAAATTCATGAAAATGATATTTGTGTTATTTGTCAAACACAAAAAGATAGTCCATTAGGAAGAATGATTGGTATTATGACAAATTGTTCCGTAGAAATTGAAAGAAAAAAGTCAGGAGGATTAGTTGCTTGTCCATTTTGTGTGTCTTCATGTCAACATCATATTCATTATCAATGTTTTATTGATTTAATTAAAACTCAACGTCAAACATGTCCAATATGTTTAAAATTCTTTAAATATTTTATTCCATTATCATCAACAATAAAAAAGTATCATCATTTTGGAGTTAAAGAAGCAGAAGACATATTTGAATTTTTATTAGTATCATGTAATAATCGTATACATACGTTTATTGATATTATTTTTTCTACTATTATTTCATATGAAATGGTTATTAGACATGGTGGAGAATTAACAAATGAAGATAAGGATATTGTTAATTCATTATTTTTAGGAGTTAAAGCATTAATTCAAAATGATGATACTTTTCAGACATTCTTTGAAGAAAGAAAAAGAAAATTTGACCCTTTAATGTTTTATATTTACAATAGAGCATTAAATAAAGATCCTAAAGAAGTTTATTTATCTAACTGTAATATTATAATGAGTATTCTTTCTTCATCTGATAAACGTTTTCAACTTGATTCTATTACTCCATTTATGAAAACACTAACATTAAAAGGATTAGACCAGTGTGTTTCACTTGAAGATGCTGTAAATAAAATGTCAATTCAATTTGAAAAATGTGTATCTTTATTTGAAGAATGTATTGAAGGAAATGTTCCTCAATTAAAAACCATTGATTTTATCCCACAAGCAGAAGGAGCAGATTTTTGTATTCAAGCACCAGCAATTAGTCATTTATTACCGCTTATTAATCTTCCATCAAATTTTAGTGAATTTATTGAGAAATATTCTGTATGTCAATGTTGTGTATGTAATCAACATATTTCTAAATTCTCTGAAATGAAAATTTGTATGATTTGTGGTAAACCAATTTGTGAAAGTAACAGTTGTTTTAAAAATCATTGCCAAGAATGTAGTTCTGGTTATGGAGTTATTTTTTCAGTAAAAAAAGCAGGTATTTATTTATATGACCAAGTGTGTCGTGGAATAGTAGTTTATGAAAATAAATTTGGAGAACCATATGACATTATATTCATTCAACAATCCCAATACTATCTAAATCAAAATAATGTTGATTCATTTAAAAAGAAATTCTATCGTGGTAATCTTCTTACAGATGCATCATTTAGTTCAATGTAATAATTTATTTGAATTTCTTTTTAATTTTTTGTTTTAGGGATTTTTTTATTAAAAAAACTTAATAAAAAAAAATGTTTTAAGTTTATTAGAAATGGATTATAACGAGTGGAGACAAACAATTATTCAAATACTCCAAAACTGCTTTAATCAATTAAACCAAAGAAATGAACAAAGTGAAATTAATTTAAATAAATATTTAAACGAACCATCAACAATAAAATGGATAATTCAATTATTAAATGAAATAAATAATGAATTTATTGAAACACAATTATCTATTATTTTAAGAAGAAAAATTAGTAAAGAATGGAATTGTTTTAATGAAGAACAACAAATGTTTATCATTGAAACAATATTTCCATTAATTTGTCTTAAAGATAATTTAATTGTAAAAAACCAATTAATTGAAGTAGTTAAATTATTATATTCTAAACAATATTATCAACATCAAATCAATTGGTTATTTCAAAATAAAAATAAATATGAAGTATCTATTCTTTTTATATTAAAATCATTATTTAAATTATATCAATTTACTCCTCAAACTAATAACTATTCATTATTTAATTTATTTATTCAATTTAATAATGATTTCATTAATTCTCTTTATGTAAATTCAATGACCCAACAATATATTTTATCAATTTTATGTTCTGTAACTTATTTACAAATTAATACTTCAATTGAGCCATTATTAAAACAATGGTTAATGAATATTTTAAATATTCTTAATTCTCCAATTATTACTATTAAAACATTGTATTATTGTTTCCGTTTTATTAACCATATAATGGGTGGTTATGAATATTATCAATTCCAAAAAGAATTTCCTGATTTTATAATAAACCAAATGAATAGTTTAATTCAATTTGGTTGTTCTATTCTACAAAAAAATCCATCAAATCGTATTTGTTTTGAAATACTTTATTTCTTTACAAAAGCGGTTAAAATAGATTGTTCATATAATTTCATGTTAAACAATTGTTCATTTTTACTTTCTTCTATTCTTCCTTTACTTTGTTTTAATGATGAAGATTTGACAATTTTTAAAAATGATGAAATATTATTTCTTCAAAGAGAAGATGATAGAAAATATGGTGCTGTTGATGCATATTCTTCATCAAATAAATTTTTTACTCAATTTTGTTCATATAACAAATCAGTTCAAATAGTAGTATCTGAATTATTAAAATTCATTAATGATAAATCTTTTAAAGGAAAAGAAGGATGTTGTGTTGTATTTCATTTCATTAATGGATCTATTCAAAATAAATATAAAGAATCATTAGAAATAATTATTAATAATGTTATTAAACCATTATTATTTAGTAATAATCCAATACAATTATATTATGGTGTATTATTATTTGAAGACTATTATTCTAAACAATTAATAAGATATTCAAACAAAGAAGAATTATTCAAAAATAATGAATGTAAATTATTTCTTACTCGACTATTTGAATTAATTCATTTTCCTTCATTAATTATTTCACAACATATTATTTCAGCATTACAATTTATTATTAAAATATTACCTTTAAATGATATTGAAATATTGTATAATAGAATTATTCAATTACTTCAATACCCATCATATCAAGTAATTAATTCTTTATTATCAATATATCTTCATTATCCTCAATTTAAATCTTCTTCATCAATAGTAGTTAATAAATTATCTTTATTTTCATTAGAATTATGTTCACTTCATCAAGGATTTTTAATGGAATCGAATCCTAATTTAGATTTAATTTCAGATATTCTTACATTATTATATTCAACCCTTGAAGCACTTGAAAAATTCTTAATTTATTGTACTGATTTATCATCTGTACTATCATTAATAGAATCAATTCTTACTAAATATATTTCATTGCTTTCAGATATTTCAGAACAAATATTATCTTTAATAAAATTAACATTAAAACTTACAAATCAATCTCATCATCTCTCCCTTATTATTCAACAATTCTTATTTGAAAATCCATTAGATTTATCAATATTATTACTCCCATCAATTGGTTTTATTTGTCAATATTCAACTACAGATTTAGATTCTCATTTATTACTTCGTTATATACAAAATTCACTTCAAGGATATTATAATGATGACTTTTTACTTACATCAATTACATTTACTTTAAAACAATTACTCATATCTTCTATAATTCATTCTTCTCAAATTTTACCAACAATATTAGCATTAATTCCTCAATGTGATGATTATTTAGCTCATTGTTTAAAAACAACAATCTTTGTATCAATTATTTTTCAACCTCAAAACACTTTGGATTTATTTGATTCTTTAAATTCATTTCAATTCCTTATTAATATGTTAAAACACTATTCTACTCTTAAAAATGACTTTTATACAACGAAAATCCTTGTTTTAACTCTAATTACATTAATAGATACTCCTTCTCCATTAGACCAAGCTTCATTACTTCAATTATTAATTCCTTTCCTTCAATCATTATATTTCTATCGTAATACTTATTCTCAGGCTGTTATTTCAATTTCTGAAGAAGATGATGATAATGAATCACCTCAATGTGAAGAAGAACCAATACCAATGTTAATTGATTTGAATGACAATGTTATATTATCACAACTAATACAGAAATTACTCTCTAAAAATGCTCCAATACTTCAAACATTAACATCAGAACAAATGATTTTTCTCAAAAGAATACTTCACTTATAAAAATGAAAATACAAATATTTTTATTGTCAACAAAACTATTCAAATTTATTCTAATTTACCATTTTATTTAAAGATAACAAAGTTGATTGATTAAATCAACACTTACTCTAATGCTGTGAATTATTCATAGGAGGGTCTGTACTAGTTAATTGTTCTTCATACATTTTAATTAATTGAGGTTGTTGAATTAATTGTTGAATATCTTCAATAGTAAATGGCATAGAAAACATTTGAGGTAATTCTAATGGTTTTGCTAGTTGTGAACTAAAGTCCATAACTTGAGCAACATAATATTGGAAATTTAATATTTGACTAATCGATAATTCTGTTGTTGAACTTTGCATTAATTCTGTTAAAATAGTTTCTCCTTGAAACAACATTTGTTCTACTTGACTAATATCGTTTTGAGTTGTAGCTGGTGGTAATTGTGAATTTTGTTCTTCATTTGTAATAATTATAGTAGGTTGTTGCTCAACTTTTATCGATGTATTAGGTGCAGGAGATGTAATTAATGTAGTTTGAGGCAGTTTATTTATTTTATTCTTTCTAACTATTTTATTAATACGTTTACTTTTACTAACAGAAGGTGTTTGTTTATTTAATTGTTGTGCATTTACTATTGGTATACTCGGTAATTCTGAAATATCTACAACTGGAGATTTCAATGAATTCTCTTCTATTTGCATTGAATCAGAAACATTTCCATCAACTGAGTCTTGTCCTAATGGCTTTTCTATTGGCATAGGTGTTGTTCCAGAAGGACTTCTCTTTCTTACAACACGAACCGATGACCCTTCAACATCACTATCTTGACTTGAAGAATGACTAGGACATTTAGTGATCGTGACAATTCTTTGTGGACGAATAAGTGTTTTATCTTTACAAAAATCAGACCACGTCATTGTTGGATGTGTTTCAATGTATTTAAGATATTTCACACGTGCAGCTACATCTCTAAGTCGTTTATGTGGGAGGTTTGTTAGTAATAAAGTATATCTTTTTAATTCAGAATATTTATCTTCAGGATATACTTCCATGTTATTTTTTAATGTATTTATCTCTTCCTCATTCCATTGAACACAATTCTCTTCACCGCGAGTAGGATCTCGTGAACTCATATTCTATTTTTTTTTAAGATATTGTTCTTAACTTCTCTTTTTTGAAGTATGGTTATAATATAGTTTTAAATAATTCTCTTATTTTAACACTTCTTTTGTAGTTCAATATTCATCTTGTTAAGAAACGAAAAGAAAGTTGTCTTTGAGACTAAAACCGAAAAGACAATCATATTTAAAACAATAAAATGAATGAAAGAAAGTGAGATTAGTAATAATGAAACAAAGTCAATTCCAATACTTTGAAGGAAGAAAGAAAAGGAAAGAGATGTATAAAGCGATGAATGATGAGATGAAAAAAGAAATTGAAAAAAATGGGTTTAACGAAAAGTTCACCGTCCTCAGAGGAAAGTTTGATGGACATGAATATCAATTCGATGGCAAAAAATTATCAAAAAAAACTTTATTTATACCAGAAATAAAACTTTCTGAGTGTCAAATTCAAATTCTATACCTTTCAATTAATCAGTATTGCTTAACTCAACAAGGGTTTATTGTTCAAGAATTTGTTGGAAAAATTCTTAAAACTGGAAAAGAAGTTTATTCACTCCAAGTTGGTGATTTTGTATTGGGGAGAGATGTTTCTCAAAACTGTTTCAAAGATATTATTGTGACTAACCAAACAAATTTAATGAAGTTAAATGATAAAAGTGAATCGAATTTTATTAATTATCTTGGAAATATGTCTAGTGCTGTCCTTCCTTTTGAACTTATTAAGAATATAATAATTCCTCATCAATTAAGTAATATTCTAATCATTGGTAGTGGTGTTATTGCAATGAAATTATCTGACTTACTTCAAAAGAAAAAGATTAATAACTGTCTTGCAATTGAAGATAGACTGTATTCCAAATATCAATCATTTGGTTATAATGTTATCAAAGTAACTGAAATAGATTTGTTATTGTTACATAACATTGACGCCATCATTGATTTTAAAAATGACTTTGATCATTATAAGAATTTAGACCATCAACTCACATACATTCACCTTACTGTTCTTCCAAAACAAAAGAGTACTTCTTTGTTATCCCAAAACAAAACCCATCTATTACCAAATGTTTATGGACATGCTTCATTTATTGAATTCAATTGTCCCATAGATAATAAGACATTTTTTAATGACCAAAAAGAGGTTAGTTCAATGGTTAGACCTCATATCTCCTCAGTTATTAATATTAATGATAATACATCTGTTGAAGACTCTCTTATTCGCCAACAAGAAGAAGATGAAACTCTAATTGTTTCTTTGTAGAATTATAAATAATTAAATATTAACCCATTAAATTTTAGGAAAATCTGTATAACA